CAATCAATGTGCCTCTTCAGCCTATCTACTCCACCTGTTCTTTCTCTTCGTTTAATTTCGTATGCATATTATTTTCCAACCCCGTTAAACACACATCGAACTCCCAAACCGTCTTCTCTGAAATAACCTCAAACCGATTGAATACCCTAAACTTTTGTCCTTCTTGCAACAATATTAGCATAGTTCTTCCAAATGCACAATCGATAAGCCGACTCGAAATTGAATAATTCCTTCAAATTCTAGTCTTCTGTATATCTTCATATAATAAAGTCAATCACTTTATTCATTTTGTAATATCCAGTAGATCTCAATAGATCTCTTAGGTTCTGTTATGTTTCCGCTCCTTATTTTGATTATAATACTAAAATACCCCGTGAAATTAAACTCCATTACACAGATCCCGGTCTACTAGGCGATTTGAAATCTCGCCTGAAAAAAACCAATCCATCAGAGGAAGAACGAGTAGATCCCCAATCTTCACAAAACACCCCGGACATTCCGTCTCCAAGCACCCAAAACTCTGTGATCGAAGAGAGCCTAGTGTCACCAACCGGAGGCAACAGTAAAACCTCTTCAACTCCTAACTCAGAATCAACCGATGGTCTGCTTCCAAACTTAACACGTGTAAGTACATATCACTCATTGTTACACACATGAAGTAAATACCTTTTTGTATGGGTGTCTGATGGGATTTGGATCCTGGCAAAAATATACACAACGTAAGCCAGAACAACCTTTTACTGAAGAGTGATGAAGTGAAAACTGATTCCAATAAGCCGAAAGAACCTGTGAGTATTCGTCACCAAGCGTCGTCAGACAAAACGCACCAGCCCCATAATCGTCTTAATCAAGGCCTTCTGAATAAAGTAAATGCGTCATTGCACATAAATTTCCACTGCATATCTAATCAAAAGGTAAGATGTCAAACGAATAGCTGTTGGGCGATGGTTTCCACCTGCGTCCGGAAGATTTTCCTTCTAACGTGACGGTGACGAACGCAACGTTAGTTCTCACAGTTGATTAGTCCCTTTAAAACAAAGGCGGTATCCATACAAACCATCTACACACGCGACAGCAGTAAAATCGCGGTAAATGGTGCTGATTTAGCATTTCATTCCTAAATTTGCACCGTTTTTCACCATGAAACATCTGTTTATCTTTGCGCTCTAGCTTTGTGTTCCACTTTCTTTTATGAAATTGGTAATGATACAAGTTTTAAATAAGGGGAAGTGGCCAACCGAGAAGCAGCACACAAATTATTAGTGCTAGTTGGATTGGGACATCTCCAGTGTGGTAACTTGGTAACTTTTATCGTGGAGCAACATCACGTGGTATATAAAGTTTGGATTTTCTTCCAATCACTCACCTAATCCGGATTGACAACTTATAACGATGATGACGCATTTTTTGAAATTACGATTGTACCTATTTAATGTGTTGCGCTTTTGCCTCGTATCACCGTGGATGACACCGAAATTCTCGTATTTCAGCATCGGGCACGAAAGCCGCAAACACGTCGCCCAACATTCAGACATTCAACACTTGTTGTGCCTCTTGAAACGGATCTGGTGAACTCGTCCACAAAAATAGGCACTGACTGGGATGAGCTTAACAGATTCTTTGGCCCATTAAACAGTGAGGGTAACCGCGTTTCGTTATCGCCAAAGCCACGTGTCGTATCTGTTGCGCTGCCTACAGTGCCAGGCGTGTCTCGTCCGAAACCCAAAAAATCAGAATCAGAATCGGAAACAGAATCGCAGTCAGAAACAGAATCAGATTCCAGCGATTCGGAACCGCAGATGATGGCACCAAACTCAACACTTGCAAAATCCGATAAAAATACGCCTGAATCATCAGAAGGTGACACTGGTGTTCCGTCACAAGAGTTGTCAAAACTAGAAGCTGCGTCGCCAGTGGCTGAACCGCAAGATAAAGTAGGTGTGGAGCCTTCGTCAGAATCATCAGGGATAGAGTTGGAAGCCCCGGTGAACTCATCTTTAGATGCAATATCTATATCGTCAAAGTCACCATCCGTTGGAATATCAGAGTCAAATAAAGAGCTAACAACAAAAGAAGTAACAGGAACAGAAATCTATGGATCAAAACTCGATTCAACTACGTCACCAACAGTGAAGACACCGCTAGCAACAGAAACAAAATCGGCTTCCTCCGCCTCTGCTGCGTCAGTGCCTAGTGCAAAACCTAGCGCTCCAACATTTCTATCACCGGAATCAACTAAAACTCGGTCGTCTTTCGCAGCATCAATATCAGAGTCTACCATCAAATATGAAGGATCACCAGAAGCAATAACACCTGAGAAAACAGACGAGGTGTTACCACTGACAACGTTAAGGTCACGATCTGTGTTATCCGCCACGGAAGAAAAGACTACCGAAACTAAAGACCCAGTAGATTCTTCTTCAAAACGGCCACCCCTCACACCCTCAGAAACACCAAAACCAGAGTGTAGTCCCAAAATTGCATCCAGCGGGAAACCATTACCATCGGATTTGGAACCTGACATACGTCCTACGGGACCACCGATAAGGAATTTTGTTGGCCTTTATCCTACATTACCTGATTTTGTCACTCGGTCACCAGCCACGATTAAGCCGAATCCAATATCTGCTGCATCGGAAGGGTCGGGTACACCGCCCACAGCGACGTTAGTTACAGAACCCAGACCAACGGATTCAGCCACCGAAGCGCCATTAGCCAACTCGCAGTCTACAACATCTTCGTCCTCGTCCTCCTATTCTTCTTCATCATCATCCGAATCATCGCCTCCAACTCCCGAAAAGCCAATACCACCTCCTCGACCATCTAAACCTCCAAAGCCCAAGAATCTGCTGGAAAAACTAAAGGGTGAATCCTTGGTAAGAACTTGAACTGTTTCATCCAATATATGAAGAAAAGTATTGATTTATGTAAACCAAAAGAGAGGAAGGTCGGTTAGTAGTGATTCATGATCATACTCACAGATCGCAATATGCATCACTAGTCACCAGGACCAAAAACCTGAGTGCAGATTACCATTGTCAGTTAGTTTCATCCTAAGGCCGTATTTATTGTTCGCAATGATCGTAAAGCAGTTTCTCCATTAATTGTCCAAATCTTCCGTGATATCAGGCACCTAAGTAAGCTGAAGTACGTACACTGACTGGCACTATTTGGAATTTTCAACTATGATAAAGATTTAGCTCGAGGTACACGCTTTTCTCGTTTTTTTTAAATGTACATTTTAACTTAACTAGTATCATTGACAAAAGCCACAATAGATAAATAACAGATGCATGTACGACGTACGACTGAAGTGTTCGATGTTCATTGCTAAGGACGTAAATCCCAATTAGGTAAGATTGTCTTTCATCCGAGTTCCACATATTTTCCTTTCAGTTGAAGGAGCCCCCACCAAAATGATCAATATTCAATCAAATATGGTGATTACTTTCTTCGTTCAACCACACGTCTTCTACGTAAATCATTACCACCGCGAGAGAGCCCCGAAAGAGACTTGGAATATTTCCAAATCTGTGAATGCGAACACGTGCGAATCCGTGTGCATCGGATACAATGGTTCATCTTTTCCCCCGGAAATGCTCTTCCAGAGATTTGGCAGTAGTACTCATGACACTGAACTGCCCACCAAATATGTCTTCATGGGTTTTCTGTTTTTTATTATTCAGTCAGATAGCTATTTTTGCTTTCTCAAATCCAACCCATTCCCGAAACGGACATATATAAATATATATATATATATCTTCCGATCATGAGAGCTGATTCTAGGCAATGTCCGTGCCAAGGTACGTTGGTCGCTTCAGCTCGTGACCCACGCCGCTCACACTACCCTTATAGTCCACGAGTTTACAGCATCACACGACTTATACCCTGATTTTCATTTTGCTCGCCTTCCAGTTTCCCGTTGAAAAAAGCAAACTGAATACAAGCCTTATCCTTATGGTTTTGCTCCACCTTCTCGGGACAAAGGGTGCATTGCTTATTCCTTACCAAATATATTTTATTCTCTGCTCAACTAAACAATCCAACATTTGCTGTGCATCCAGAACATTTTGACAATTGTTTCAAGTTACTTTTGAACCATTCCACTGACTCATTTCATGAGTGTAAATAAAACCGCTTGCCACGGATTGATTCATTCATCCAGTCGAAATGAGTCTGTCTTCCATAAGACTGGGCTCACTTCTGATGGAATTTGCTTCAGTACTACTCTTAAGATAGTTGTCCTTTGGTTCTGCCTTCTGATTACTAAAACTGGAAGATCACACCTACTCGAATTGACCATGCAAGACACGTCTGAAGAAGGAAAAGCTTCCACATCGATCCGAGAATTTTCCATGATGGAATAGTCTTAGGGGGAGGATTGCATTGATTTGAGTGCTGGTTTAAAGCGTTTCCCTCGAAGTGAAACGCCCAAATCACTGGTTCAGTTTTATTACAGCTTTCGTGAATAGTAAATCAAAAGAGTGTTATATATTCTATGATGACAAACCTGGTTTAAATACATGTTTCTCGTCTAAATCGCAAAATCTTATTGTTGTGGACTTACCAGAATCACACCTAGTGCATAACTTTATATTTTGACTCGCACAATTGCATCATTTATTTAACAGGTTTTGATTTATGATGAAGTAATGAAGAATTACTTCAATATAAACTTGATTTTGAAGGAGGTTAATTTTCTGGAATGTTTTGTTACAATTTACTCGGAAACCCACAATGGAAACGTATTCAGAAATGATGAAGTACAGTTGACTAATGTTATTTTGACTGAAGTTGTAAAATTCGAATTTTTTTCATAGCCAAAGTGACGTAGCAATCGGATAATCAGAGGGAGGATAGCAAACTATCTTGCACCACTGTTCTAACCGTGCAAACCTGTTGATTGTGTCTGAGTATAAAACTTTGGATAGCCTCTCTAAGATTTACCCACCTATCCGGAACCAAGACTTTGTGATTACGTTAATGCAAGTCGTGTGAATTCCAACAGCAAAGTGGAAATTCTGAAAGTCAAAGAGCATTTGTTGGAAGAACTGGAAACTGTTTACTACGATCCATTGCTACAAAATGATGACAAGTGATAAGGTAAGGTGCATAATTTGTGGGAATACTGTTATTCTTTAACAAGGCTCATTGCTTGCCAGATGTACATTCGGACGTAACCTGAATAGATTGTCTGGTAAAAACAGATCTGGTTCTGTTTTGAGCGTTATTTGATAAGTCACCACAGTGTCAATGAAAACTTCCCATGGGAGTTTATTTCAGATGTATAATGAATCATTTGCACTCATGTAATGATACTTCAGCAATGTCTCTGTTCAAACTATGGGCCAGACAAACCATCATACAACGAAATCTATAAGCCATTAAGAACTTCATTTTTTCTCTTGGATGGAATACGGTGAGAATTTTCAGACGAAATCAGATGAATTTTGCAGATTTCGCAATCGGTTTCTCTGACTGGTCGTGCTTGATTCCAAAGGTAGTGTTTTGTACACCTCTTGTTGGTTGGTTTGAAATCAGGGCTTTTAGCCAACTCTTTTGCAGAGTATCCTCGCAACGAAGGAATAATTATTCAATCGTTGATCATAAAAGCGGTAGGTTTTTCTTGTTGCGGCTTGCCAAGACTCCAGGTTAGGTTTTGGTTCATTTTGTAGGTTTTTCTATAGCTTAAAGCTGTTGCATTCTCGTCTATATACAAAACGGAAAAAACATAAACCCCGTTCTTCTTTGTATTTGATTCCTAAAAGTTGTAAATGAATGGTCATACCACTGTTGAACTATGATGGACGAGAACCAACCGGAATGAATAATATGCATGTAGGTTAATATGGGTTAAATTTCCATTTTTTAACTCAGTTATCATTGTCCCGTCTTCCATACCGAAGGGTCACCGTTTAAGTCTGACTCAAGGGACAAACTTTGCTAACGGCTGACAAAACTGTATACGAAGGGCTTAGACGTTTGATGTTTTCTCTTTGTCTGTTCCTAAAGTGTTGATGGGTTGCAACTTTCGTTCATGAAACGCATTGTATCAGACTGAAAATGATACACAAACTTTGTTTACCCATGAATTCAAGCACATCTCAACTCATACGTATTAGTCATTTAATTAAGAATTTCGCTAAAATATACCAGAGAACATTCGGCTACGTGTCGGTAGACAAAGGTAGAATGAAGTTAGAGGGTAATTCCGGACCCGCGATTGCCCAACAATCAAAGCAATTCCGGTCCCAATTGAATATTTCCATGGCAGCTAGTCATGGATTGCTAGCATTTGTCGACATCAGAAAAATACGGGCATCCGAGTTTATTTATGAAACAACAAAGTCAAGGTCAGTTATCTCCCTGTCCGAAAGTCTGTTGCGTCATCGATAAACGGGTTTCCAAGTCTTATCAACCACATGCTCTCGGCGCAGGAAAACACGGGAATTATGCTTAAGCTTACTCGAATGGATTAAGTGACTAAAGGTCTGACTAAAGGTCAAACCAAACTCTTCTCTCCTCCTATGGTTGATTATATTAATTTTAGTAAGCATTCTTTGAATGGATAACAAAGAAACTGTAGAAAATGTCTATTGTGTTTTTGGTGTATATTCTGGTTTAGTGAGAGCTGCACACATTTCGGTGTGTTATTTGCAAATAATTTATCATTGAAAAATACCGAAATAAAACACAAACTAAATGAATGTTTTGGTAATTCTGATAATAAACAAGTGGTTTCGCGGCTCCGTACTCATTTATCTCCCGAAATCTTCTTATCTAGTGTTTTTTCTTAGTCTATGTTTTTTTCGGTTTGCTGTGTATTAATTTCAAGTGAAACATATTGTTCACATACAGGTGAGTCTCCCCAGTTTGGTCCACCTGAGAATGAAACAAAAAACCTTTCTACTGATCAAATAGGTTTGATAAACTTGTTGATCATTCTTGACCTTTGCACGACTCACTTACCAAACGGGTTTCAAGTTATTTGAATGGAATGGTTGATGCTTAGAGTCAATTGCTGCCGCATAAATCAATAAAAGGCGGTTTGATTAGGATCTCAAGTCTCACTGTCAATGCTCACTTATGAGATCACCTAGATCTTCTTCCCTGACGCCTATAGACAATCATAATGTGTTGCCATGGAGACAAAATGCAATCGTTGCTAACTGGTTGCTGCTTTCTGAATTAAGAAAAACATTGAGTTGGTCAATATGGCAATGAGCGTTGGTTGCCTAACAAAAAGTGAGATTATGGTATCGCCGGCCTCATCATATTTCCCAACCCCAAATTCTTCCTACACATCAAACATTTTTTGGTGCTTCAAAATACCCCCTCCCTCTCAGATCATTTTGCCGGTAAGTGAAGCTAACTATGTGAGTTGTTTCTGTCCCCGGGCCACAACTGAGATGCATTAATGTTGCTTTCAGCTTACGCTGCATTGATGCTTTTATGATTGATTCAATAACTCGTAAACAATGTGTTCCTGATATATTGAATTAGAGCAAATAACAGTTTAAAGATTACTCTTGTTCCAGTTATTAGCACAGCAATAAGAATGTGCATAATTATCAGTGGTTGTCAGTGATGAGACTGAATCAACTGAATTTACTGAAAGTAAAAACTCACAAACCAAACTACTGGCTTCTCAGAGCCATCCCCAATTAGCACACCAGCTCCCCAAATGGTTTACTATTCAGTATTGTTCATTAATAAACGGATCTATAAATGTTATATTCACAAGCTCAGCATGATTGATCGGAATATTCGTTGATCTGGTCTTCCATTCAAGGCGACAGAGTGAGCTATTTCAATCTTTCTCATTCAAAGACCAACCTTTGTAAATTAAGGTTACTATATACATACATGTTTGCGTGTACTAGGATGCATAAATTTTGGAACACACTTTGCAGTACTTGCTAGGGTGTTAACACTAGATCACTGCAGATCGTTGTTTAACTTAACCTTAACTTTTGCAGTTATGATCAAAGAAGAGGCTACCTAGCTTCTAAACCGGACGTGCATCAGACGAATCACGTTCTAGCAAGATTGACTAAATACGCTTCTAGTGCGTCTAAAAGGGGCAAAGAGTGCCCACTAATGTCACCGACATATCACTGCATCTACTTCAGGGTCAATGGTAGGCAGAATGAATCATAGATGAAGATAGCTAAGTGTTACAATAGAAAACTGTGATTTGTCGCAGTGACGAAAGCTTAACAGGTAGTTTTAGAAATCGGCAGAAGTTTGTGACACCGAAACGTTTCTTATCGGTTCATAAAAGCAGAAGAAACTCAATCTATGAATGTAATTCTGTCCGGAAAGAGAACAAAAGAAGTGATATAAATATCAAAGTTCAGAATATGAATACATGAAAACAGTAGATAGATAAATCAATAATCATAAAATTCAAAAACATGACAATATGCAAAACGAATTAGGTAAAATGTTTTGAGCTATGTGATACAACGGATGGGCAAAGCATACTCATGAATGAGAAACTACCACTTAGATGGTCACGAGTGTTCTTAAAAAGACTGCGAATTGCAGTAGAATAGGTTGTTGTCATTTCGTAATACCAAATTTGCTAGCAGACTCAAACGTCGATCAATTTTTTCGCAATATGAAACTGTTTTGCATTTGATGGTGACGTATAAACCGTATTGAAGATCCTTTGAGAGATGTATGCAACCAATAAATGTTGACTTGAAATAGCTATTAAGTTCAATTTCATATTATTGGGTTTCACCTCTAGTAGTTGGCAATGCTTCCTTATAGTATGATAAACTCCATTTCATTTTTATCTATTTTAATAAAACAAGTCAATTCAAGAGTGCACTTTATTCATCCAATGTGGACAGAATTTTTGGTGAAAAGAATGTTAACACATTTGCTTTGGCTTACGCACTGTCAGAAGAGTTTAAAGATGTAACAAATAGTTACTTGGATGCTGATAAATAGGTCACCGAGAGCGGAACAATTTCAGCGTGAACATTTACATTAGACTGCGTATAAGTTCGTTTGATATTCGTTCCCTAGAAACCAATAAAAGGAAAAGGTAAGGTACACCGGAGTTGTGAAAACCAGTGATACGAGTATAAAAGGTTTAAACTTATTGCGGGTAACAGAAGTTGAAATAGAGCTATATAGAGCTGAGTGTAAATAATGGGATGCAACGGACAAGATAAAGCCACACAGACGGTCACACATTGGAGTCAACCAGCTCCTCATTAGATATATAAGATATCTAGAGATGCTTTTCAGAGAGCGTCTAATCAATATGACAGTAGGCCGGGGAAGATAACGGGAGAGCAGTAGGTTCAATGGTATAAAACGCAAGAGAAAATAAATTTAGAAATGATGTACAATGGCACCCTCAGATAACGAAGGCGTGAAATAAAAGGTCAAATTTCTGACTTATAGACATTTTTGTTATAAGTGATAACACCATTTGAGGTTAGCAGACACAAAACATCCAAAATACTTGAAATGTTGAACCTTTTCAACTTTTAGGTTATTAATTGAGATATTGGGAACAGATGATTCAGAAGGTCTTGATGTCTTACGGTCAATTGAAAACAAAAAATCAATGCATTTGTTCGGGTTCAAAGAAAGGTTACCGCCATTGTACCATTCAGAAATGAAAATTATGGTTGATTGAAGGGGTTTGTTGATTGATTGTCTCTATGAGATGCAACACTAACCACTGCATCATCGGCATATTTAAGCGGGAAAACATTTGTTATGACTGGAAATTCTTGGATGTAAAAGAAGAACAGAAAAGGGGATAAAATTGCACCCTGCAATACACCGTGGTTTACAGTAACAGCAGATGACCCAATAACATTGAGACAAGTGAATTGGCGTCAGTCAGTAAAATATCCGTGCATCCAATTCAAAAGATGTGACAGGAGACTCTCTTACCGTAAGAGTGATAATAGGATGTTTCTGTCAACAGAGTTAAACGCGTTTGTATAGTCTAAGAAACAAACATGAACAATCTTGTGTTTTTGGTCTATAGTGGATAAGCCTAATGTATAAGACAAGCAACCGCATCCAAAGTAACGCGACGCTTCTAATACGCTAAATGATTGGAATC